AATGTCACAAAAAAAACAATGGTGTGCTTGGACTTTAATATCACCAACCATTCCCATTTTATTACAGTGTATCCATATAAATGGCCCACCCTGCACATTAAGAATTTGTGGGACTCATTTAAATAATTTTCATTTCAGTTTTTCAATTATTTAAAAGCTGTTTTTGTTTCTCTGCTGATTTGCCATTATCATCTGCTTGCAGTGTTTGAGCTAGGCTTAGCTAACAGGAAAGCCTAGCTCTGTGTTCATCCCTCAGGTAAAAGAGTGATATCACACTTCTAATGTAACTGCTGACAATATAATACAATACAATATATATATATAATACAATATAATACAATCCAGAATCAAAGGCAGATTTTAATTTTTGTGCTTGAGTTCACTTTGTTTTATTTTGTTGTAATAATTTTGTTTTCCTGGTTTCTCCACAGTGCATCTTTCTTTTGACTCCCCATAAGAATTCTGTGTGCGAAGTAAAATATTTTTCCATCTCTAGTTTTTAAATGTAAAATATTTAAATTTTTTTCATGGAATCCTATTTTCATCTCTGTCATTAATACTTTTTTTACTGGACTAATATAATTTGTGTGGGAAAAAAATAAGAGGGCAAATGAGGCCACGTAAACCACACACATTCTCCACGGTCTCTGTCAGTTATCTTGATGGACGCTGTATGTCAGCTTGTTTCCCCATAGAGAGGTTGTTTTCCAATTACTCTGACATTACTAACAGATTACTGCTTGCAAACATACCCCATGAGGCTAGTGGAACAAAAAATTGGAAATTGGATGCGAAAAAACTCAGTCCTGCAAAGAGGCATTTGGTATTCAAAGACAGAAGACAGACAGACAGATGGAAGAGAGTCAAAAGACTACTGATGTAAAAAGAAGAAGAGAACAGAGGGATATCTGCAGCCATAGATTTTGCCTAATAGCAGCTTGAATTAAGGCCTTCCTGTTAAATTGGCCTGCTTCCTGTGAGCCAAGGCCTCATTTCCCAAAGGGACACCATAATCTTTCATTTAGTAAATACGTTAAACTATTTAGACTGAGTGCCGCCACTTCCTGTCTCTGTCTTTTTAGTCTAACTGCACTTCTTTTTCTCTTTGTGAGGCCACAACATAGTTGCTGGCAAGTTCATTTTGCATACCTCTAGTGTTTGTGTACAGTTTCAGCTCACTAGATTGCTAATGCAGCCCTCAAACTCCCCAAAGATGCTTGTGTTAGTCTTGACTGGCTTTCACTTGTCTGACTGGTTGGATAAAATGTTGTTTGTTCGAGAATCACTTAAAATCGATGTCCAAGCCCATTAAAGGGAAAAAAGCACAAGAGATGTGAGCAAGCGTCTCCATTTCATTTAAAAAAAAAAAATGCATTTCCCTGCTGCTGACTTAAAGAAATGTGGAGACCGCTTGCGTGAACACAAACAGATGCACAAATGCATGCACATCCTTTAAAGCCACAACCACATAAACACAGACCTAGATTGCGCAGGACCACACACAAGCTAATACGGATGCATGGAGCTCCACATGGTGACCTTTAGCTCATTTCTACAGAGCTAGGTGCCCCATCACTCTCTTTAAAACCTCCATCCACTCACACAGTGAAGATAGTGACCTTCAAAGAGCAGGCACACACACACTAAAACACTGTGTTTGAAGAGATCCTGCGCTGTGATTGAGCAGCAGCTGTGCTCATTTCCTGAGGTTATGATCATAGCTGCAGAAGAACAAACTAGGAGGATATAATGACTGTGGTTTTACACAAATACACATATTTCTGACCTTCCAGGGATTCATGTTGACAAAAGAAAAGGAGAGAAAGGTAAAGCAAGATAGCAGAAGATATTAGAGTAATTGTGTTCTGAGGAGAAAAGCTGTTGACAGTAAAACAAATGTGGTTAGGGGAGTTTAGATTTAACACAGTGTCACAAAGAAATATGCATTTAATTCTATTATTATTAATTATTTAACGTGTAATTTGTTAAATTCAAAGGCAAAGAGTGAAATCAGCGGTAGAACACAACCAAGTAGCTCTTAAGGAACTTGAATTTCAATGATTGCCATTATACATTAGTTATACAATATCCCAGTAGCCAACAGTAGCAGGGCAATTTAGCACATTCAAATACAATTACATAACAATAAAAAATAGGATGATCATTGTGTTGCTGGCCCTCATATTATCTTGCATTACAAATCCAGTGTGGCGCTATCCTTTACAGCGATGCACTGTGGGTATTTGCCACTGGTATTGGTTGGTTGCAAAGAAGGTGCTACAACAAAAACCTCCTTATGATTGCTTTGGCTGCTCCGTAGCTTGCATGGAAGACGCTGCCTTGTCTGCCAACACTCTCTGAGCTGTAGTGAAACTTGAAGTGCAACGCAAATTAGAAACATTCACCCTTCAAGTGCTTCTGTTGATACCATACACATTTACCTTTGATAAAATATTTGCAGATAAACACATATTTCAGGAGATTGGGTTGAGATTTAACATGCTCTCACCTTCTATGAAGTCAGATGGTGTGTAGACTTGGGCCTTTTCCGCTGCACTTCTGTGGTCCTGCTCAGATGAAGGCGTATTGAGGCTATGCAGAGCCGTCTCCAGGACCTCCGCAAGCTCCTCTCGTTTGTCCTTTCTCACAGGCTTCTCCTCCGGATGACGTGTCAGCCCCATCTCCAGCTGGTATACTCTTTGCAGGGTGAAGCTCTCAAATGGCACTACAGCGTACTCGCTGGGCAACCTGATGCCAGAGGTCACCTCAGCTTTTGACAACTGGGCCTTCAGGAACTCCTGTAGGTCCGCAGGCTGGCTCTTGGCTACCTGAGCTTCTCCAACACCACCTCCTTGTGAGGCAGCGCCTCCTTCCTGCCCCTCTGCTGGGCCTCCATTGGCTTTTTTCAGGCTTTCCTGTACTCCTTTCAACTGCTGACTGCGCTCCTGCAATGCCTCTTTCAACTGAGCTATCTGTTTCTTCAAGGAGGAGATGTGGAGGCGGTGCTGCTCCTCACGCTCTTGGAGGAGCACCTGGTAAGAGTGGGCACTCGGAGGACCGCCGCTGTGGGCAGGCCCAGCTCCTCCGACCCCAGCGGCTCCCGCTCCGGTCTCCGGCCTCGTGCCTCCCAGGCTGGGATGATTAGATCCAGCGTGGGGTAATATATGACTCAGTGGAGGGTCATTAGAGTATGGCGGGCTGCATCTCATCACATAAAGGAGCGAAAGTGAGCAGCAGAGGAGCACCAGAAGCCCCCCGACACGGGACACCCACAACAGTAGTCCGCGCCGTAACATCACTGCACGCAACATCAAAACTCACTCCTCCTGGTTAAACCCACAGAGGTATCATGTAACCTCACACACTCTGGCCTTAATGATGTCTGACTTGTGTTTATGTTCCATCACCCGGTGAGCAGGCGGGCTACATATCAGTGTGAGGTCATTTAATTTGAATTAGGTCATTGGTTCCCAACTGCCTGAGACTGTTGTGTCACTGGCAAAATAATGGAAAAAAAAGAAAAAAGGCAGACACTTGTGAAAAAACACTTTCTCCCTTTCTCTTGGTCCAATTAGCTCCATGGTCTGTGAGAAGAAACTGTTCCAGACACTGTTGCATCATCTGTCACTCATAAGTGACTCATCTGTTTGCTCTGACTCTCCCACTAAGTCCATGTTGTCCTCTTCCTGTCCTCCTTCCAGTATCCAAATGCTCAGCCAAATAGTCTCCAATACAAATGTGACTGATGCAGAAAGAAAGAAAGAAGAAAAAAAATTCATAGAACTCTAATCCTCAGTAGTCATCTGTTTGTTTTTTTTCCAAAGCCGTTTTCCTGACAAAGGAAACAGAAAGGAGACAGAAAGGACTGTTATTGGAAATAATTCTTTTTAACATTTTGACGTGCACCAGCTTTCTCTAAACACTGGAGGGTGTGTCTTTAAATATGCACTGAATCAGAAACCGACCAGGCTACTCTGACATGTTAGTTTTAGGGTGGCAAGAAGTTGCCAAACCAAGCATTGCTTCAGGACTAAAGCTCCTGGAAAACAATGTTGTCACTGAAGATATGACGCAGTAAGTAAGGGTGCGTGAGCTTGAAACTCCAGAAGTTATAGTTCATATGTGCTAAGGGGTGTGTGTGTGAGTGAGTGAGTGAGTGAGTGTGAGTGAGAGAGAGATCAGGGAATAGAGAGGAAAATATGTATACACCTATGCAGCTATTTGTACCTGCAGTGTGTGTATTGGTATGTGCACATGAAGTGGACTGTAGTGTCATATTATTGCTCTTTATGTATCCACAGTCATGCAATAAAGACAGTAAAGTAAATACTCCCTTACTTTCTCCATATGAATTAAGAGAGTTATTATCAGCCAGGTGCTGTTGATGCAATTGATGAACTTATTGCCATATTTTCTGACCACCTGTATAAAAGTAAATGTTGGCATTCTGCTGGTCGGGAGCATCCAAAATACCACAAGTTTCCCAGGAATTAATGTTCCAGCAAATTCACCTGAAGCTCAGATTATGCAATGCTCAGACAAACTGCAAAAAATAAAAAAGCTACATCTCCGACTCTGCAGTCCTCATTTAACATGTTAATGTTAAAGTTAACCACAAGATGTCTGGTTTGTCCACCATTTGGCAAAAACCAAACACAGCATATTGGCACAAACACCTCATACCGAATGTCAAGCACTGCACAGTGGAGTGTTGACTTAGATTGCATACTTGGGACCTGGGCACCTTGCAGTCATTGAGTCAACCATGAACTCTGTAGAGTCTTCTGGAGACAAATGTGAGGCCATGTGACAATTTGTCAACTGGCACAAAATTGTCATGCAATAGGACAAAGATCTCAAGAACAGCAGCAAATCTAAAACAGAATGGCTGAAAAAGAAAAGAATCAAGGTGTTGCAATGACACAGTCAAAGTCCAGACCTCACCTGGACTGAGGTGCCGCAGTAGGCCCTTCAAAGACAAATAAATGTATATAATGAATGCTTGCAAAACTCAACAAGCAACATTGTAAAGAAAAGTGGTTTAAATTTCCTTTATAGCAATGTGAGAGACTGATAGCCACATAGAAAACCATTAGTTCATGTTATTGCCTCGACATGCTTCTGAATGATGGGGAATGCATTGTTGTTTTTTCGAGGACTATATTTAAACTTTACTCACAAAAGCTCTTGAGCAGCATTTTTACTGGGATGGCTTTGTGGATAGCAACGTTAGTTGTTTGGACCACCGTTTTAGTCCCCAGATGATGAATTATAACAAATTTTGTGGGCTTGGTTAGAATATCCCGTCGATTTATGTTACGAAAGAAAAACTGTAATGAAAGTGATGATCTTATGACTTTTTGTCTGGCACAGATGGTAAAATAACTTGTCCCAAAAAAGGAACCGTCATCCCAAAAAGACTTTATCTAGCCATGTTAGAACATTTAGTCAGCACAAAATTGATCTTACACAACAGACAAACATTCACCGCTACCAGCCAAATGCAGATACAACCACTGACACGATCAGCACCAGACGTGCTTTGTGTTTTGTGGTAATCCAAAAACGTCACTTGAAACAAAGTAGTACTAAGTGGTGAACAACAAGCTGTAAAGTTTAAGCAATAACTCTGTACTTTATGTCTTCTGCGTGGGAAAGGTGAGCAGCAGTATGGTGTATCTGGATGTCTGAATGCAAGTCTTGAGCATAAGTAGACGTTTTGTGTGCGTGTCTATGCATATATATGTTCTTGTGGGAAGGTGTTTCAGTGTTCCTGTATGTATCTGTAAATGTATCTCTGTGTATCAGTCACGGTCTCTCTTGACTCCCCACACAGTCAGCTCTTTGACAGGACAGCCTGAAGCTGAGCGTAATGAAAGGATTAGTATATGGCAGAAGTGAATACTGGACTGTGCTCTAACAGATGGCTGAATCAGGACAGACAGAGCGTCTCTCCAGCAGGACCTCCGCTGCTGACTTAAAAAATGTTTGAGGAGAGGACGCTCGGGGAAAAGTGGCTGAGTTAGTGCTGGAGAGCGTGCTGCGGCTCCTCACATCGAGTATCGTCCTTTGAATTACAGAAAAAGTTCTCATGATATCATTATATGGAGCCATGGATCTTCCAAAAATGTGGCATGACATTAATGGCAGTTTAATCAGTTCATTTTGGCTCGTTCACAAAAGCTTCTCATTAGCTGAGAGTTGTGGCCGCATGCAGGGAACCTCCTCTAAGTAATTACATTGGTTTTTCCAGATGATTTTGACTTCCTGTAGCACAGTTGCGCTCGAACTAATGCCAGTAAATGTGATCACAAGCCATTCACACGAATTAAAGCGTGTGCCTGGGTCTGGCATTGTGATGGTCAATTTCCTGTTTTTACTGAGGAACAAATGCGCTGCTTTGCATTGTCAAATGCAAGCTCGTGGTGGGAGGAGAGTATGAAGCTACAGCTAGCAGGTGATTAGGTTAGCATGCAGAACTTTTCGCGAAATGTCAAGTTCTTCTATTTGATTATCGTCAACTGAGCCATCAGCTGACTAAGGCTGGGGTGATTGTTCTCTCCCTGCGCTATTTTAGTTTGGTTCAGCTTCTTGAAACCTTTGTAAATGTACCCCTAACAGAACAAAAGTATATGTTGTCTATGGCAATGTGGTCATTCCAAGTCATACAGGTATGTGAGAAAGATTCATCACTGCAAAGAAGGCTGGTGTAACTTTGATTTATGAGCAGAGCCCCGCAGTCAAACCACCGAGTCCCACCGGAATGAATGAATTGATTCAGCCCTGGTTATTTGACTCCCTACGGGGATAGCCGTGGCCTCAACACAAGAACACCGCAGAGAAATAATTACAGGCATATAGTTTCCTGTTACCATCTAGCACTAAAGTAAACGCATGCTCATAAAATGTTTATTCTCACAATGTGTCTGACATGTGCTACATCTGTGCTAACAAGCTATGGTAAAATAGTGAGAGACATTATTCAGGCCTGTGAAAAAGAAAGTAGAACCACCTTTACTTACTTAATGTAATCATTTATCATTTTCTGTGCGACTTTATCAGTCTCTCTTAAGGCTCTGGAGGAAATTTAGCATGCTCTTCTTTAAAGCGTTGCTTCAGTCCATTGAGGTTTGTGGACATCCGTTTATGCATAGATCTCTTAGGTTTTGTGGTTTGTTCTTTTGCAGCTTTGCAAAGCTAAGCTGTGCTGCGATCCTCTTTTTAGACAAAAGACACTGTCCTCTGGTAATCCGGCCAAACAAGTCATACTTGTTCAGTCTTTTTCTAATTGTACTGTCCTGAACTTAAACATTTAACATGCTAACTAAGGCATGCAGAGTTCGGCAAGCAGCTCTTGGACTTTCTGCAGTATTGCAGGGTCAGGTCCACTGTGATATTGTGTTAACAATGTCACAATATCACACCAGCAAAAAACCACCAAATGTTTTTGCAGAGAGACTCACAGATACAGTGTGAGTCTATCTAATGATGTTCATTTAATCAAGTAGTAGCAGCACTTGGCTGCTACTCATCCTCTTAATTTCTATGGAAGCAGTTAAGGATAAATTAAAAGTTTGACAGGACTGCACAGAGTCCTCTGAAAAACTTTCTTCTTCACTTTGCCATTAGTTATCATTAGTCATTATGATCTCCACCTCTCTTCCACAGTATGTCTTTTGTCTTGTTTTACTCCCCTCACCCTTTGCCGGTGCGGCAGATGCCTGCCCCTCCTTGACCCTGGTTCTGCTGGAGGTTTCTTCCAGTTAAAAGGAGAGTTTTTCCTTCCCACTGTCACTCAGTGCTCGCTAATAGGTGGTCATTTGAATGCTGGGGTTTTCTTTACCTTACAATGTAAATTCCTTGAGATGACTGTTGCCGTGATTTGGCGCTACATAAATAAAACTGAACTGAATTGACTGCATGTGTTTAAGAGGAGCATATCACCACTGATACTGTTAGGATTCTTGTGTTAGCACTTCAAGCTTCAAATCCCTTAGCCAAGTAAAGCCTCAAGTACTCTGTGCAGGTGTGGCTATAGATTTAGAAATGTTTTTTACTTTATTTAGTTTTCGTCTGTGCTAGCAGAAAACTTTGTTGTGGAGATCCTTCAGAGACCTGAAAACCACAGATGTCTGGATCTACCGTAAATCCAAACATACAGTTTCTCAGAAAGGAAATTATATAAACTGATCACGTGACTTTTTGTAAACATCAGATTCTCAGTATAAATCAATTTCAACAGCGCAAGCCCCCCCCCAAAACAAACCTGCCGTGAAGTTTACCACAATAGTTCCTGTGTTTTCTCTCTGCCTCCGTGTCTCTTCAACCTCCACCTTTAAGTCAGTGCTTGGCAGGGCCGACACCTGATAACAGTTTCCTGATGGTTGTTTCAGTCCTCATAGTACACTGAGCTACTCTGTTTGAGAAAGCTTTTTCCCGCTTTCCTTTTGCAGAATGCATCGAATACATCTACAGGCAATACGAACGATAGTTTGTTTACCAACACATTACATTTCTTCACTTTTTGAGATGTCACAGCTGATAAATGTGCTGTCTCCATTATTAGATATGCCGGAAATAGAAACACAGATGCAGAGAGACATCCAGTAGAGAGCGGAAAATAATCTGCCTGTCACAAAGAAAAGAAAGTAAGGACCGAGAAAAAGAATGATTTAGTATTTGGTGACCAGAGATATTCCCAGCAGCAGCATCTGGGTCAGCCGCTAAAATCACTTCCTCCCCTCCCGCTGCTGTTTCCTGCCCCCAGGGGATTTATGCCTGTTTGTTTCACTTTGTTTGTTTCTACTGAAATCGGCGCATCTGTGCATCAAA